TTATAACAAAACATTCAAATTCTTGTAGTGTGTGTTTCAATCAAACATTCAATAATCTTCTTCCACGGAAATTTTTAGCAACTCTCTTCGATGGCCTGTAGATAGAACAACAGAATTATGAATTGGATCTGGTCCTCCCGGAACTCTCCTTTCGGGTTCAAAAGAGCCTAACAACTTATTGTTTAGTAAAGGCACATTAGGAGTACTATGAATTGGATTTGATCCTTCAGGGGTCTTCCTTTCAATTTGTGTCGAAGATCCTAACAATCACTTGTCTATTGAAGGCTGTAAATCAGTTATTAGAGGTACTCTAGGATTGTGAATCGGGTTTGAACCTCTTGGAGTTTCCGTCTTTATTCCTATAAGAGAGCGACGGTTCTGAACTAGCCTAAAGCTTGGCTCGTGATACGATTGTGCTCGAGTGAAAGCATTGTGAATCGAATTTGGCCTTCCTGGAGCTTGTTTGGTGGTTCCTACATCAATTTTTTGTGCATTAGAGGGAATAAAAAGTGGCAATGAAAAGCCTAAGAGGAATATCGTGAGCATTGTTATCGATATCTTTGTGCAAGATAAACTAGCTAAACATGCATAAGGTAGTGTTCTAAGTAACAAAATTCTATCATTTTATAGGCCCAAAAGGAGGGAGATTAATTAAGACTCAGGATCTTGTTGGCGTATTTGAGGTTCTAGAGATGAGATTTTGTTGGAATTGACAAATATAATAAATGTTATATTTATTATATCTATGGATAAGAATGAATGTTATGGACTTTACAATTGAACGGAATCATGCTATACTTGAATCGTCCATATTAGGAAGGACAATTAATAAGCTGGATATTCACTTCAAAGTTTAGATATTGTATGGATATATGTACGTCATTTTGTATAGAACTCTGCAGAACTAAAGTGGTGGGCCCCATCGAATGGATATTTACCTGTGTGTCTTGAGGAGTTACAACTCCGCTGAGCTGTATAGCAATATCCTAACCCTTCAAATGGATAATATCATTTCAAACGGATAAGTGCATTATTAAATGTCTTACTGCTACATATGGCATGAGAATCTTAAATGGATGTGATAACATTGTTGCTACCTTTAATCGAAAGTACAGGTGTGAAACCAAATACCCAGTATAATATCTTAAACCTACGTATGTTTGTATCGAATCACTAATATTGGTTATTGACTAGACTTTTACCGTAAATTTAACTTCAAAGTTTTTCTTTTCACTGTTAAGCATGTACTTTTATTGGTGTGACAAATTTCTCTTTATGCAATGTGTTAATAATTAACTATATATGGCAAATGCCGGATCGTTGAAAGTGCGGTGACGATTTTTATGGAGTGACAAATATAAACCTCATCACACGATCAACTCTAACCTTTCTTGATCATAATGGTGATGTTCAAGAGGCGGTAGAACGATTAAGAGAAATGGAGTAACTCGGGTTTAATCCCATTATTTGTTTAGCCTTTAATGAAGTTCTCAAAGCGTGCAAAACTGCAAATAACATGGTGGCTAATCAGTGAGCTAATTAAGGGAGAGTTTTTTGAGAAAATGACAACGAATTATATATGGGATTAAACCAGAAATGAAACATAATAATCATATGATGTGGTACTGGATTTGCTAGCAAAAAGTGGACATGCAGAGGAGGCAAAGATTTAGGGCCGTTTAGAATGTATCTCAAACCATGATTCTTGATTCTGAAGTTTGAAATTTAAAATTTTTGTGAGAGAAAAACATCGTAACAGAATTAATAATTTGAGTTTGAGTATATAAAACAAACGAACATTGACTGTCCCACCGAGTGTTGACGTTTGTGTCTTCCAGTACCTAACTTCTAGAGATTGGCCTATGGTATATGTTAGTTGACATCCAGGCTTAACTTGCGAACAAAATAAACATAGAAAAAGGGGATTGAGGGAACAAAATAGGTGGATTAACTTTGTTTCTTGTCGGTAATTTTACTGCATGTTAAAGTCAATACCCAATCACAGATATATTTTTCTCTTATGGGGTAGACTCTATAGGCTTATTTTGTTATGCTTCTTAGTAAATCCCATCTTATGGTATAATGAGGTTGTCAATGTCATGATTTATTATTTGTCTTTGGAGACAGCTCAACGAGCTAACTAATTTGTCTAGCTGGCCCAAATGGGTTATCCGTTATTTTCCCCTCCACCTTTTAGGGAAAGGCAAAGAGAATGTCAAGCTATGGAGCAATACATGTAACAGGGAAGATGAAGTGGATTTTATTATTTATTTATTTTTACTTTGGAAGGCATAAACTTCTTTCTAATCAAATATAGAAAAATATATCACTCAAGGAGGTTATTTAGGACGTACGAGAGCAGCTGACTTATATGCCTTACAATGTAAATGGTAAAAATAAACCTGAATTTTACATTATTTAAATATCAAATCAAACATAAACTTATAAGCACATTTATTATCACCCCACTTAATAAGCTGACCTATTAAGTCCTTAGATTTTAAAAAAATATACCACCACCTTTTATATTTTCACTTTCTTATTTGACTAGTTAAAATAATATCTTGGTTTTAGCATGACAACTTGTCTGCAAAATCTGCTGTGTGATAAACAATGGTTTTCTATGAACTCTTAGACTTAGTATCCCGAACTAATTATTTGTAAAATTGAGTTATCTTTTTTACAGAACGAATATAACTCACTCACTCGTAAAGAATGTGAAATTGAAATGGATAGTTGTTGTTGAATTCTTTTTTATCTCATTTTTAAGAAAGGAACTGCTATATATATATATATATATACATACATATATATTCACAAACTACTCTGCCAAGATTTAACTTATTGATCAGGAGTAAGCTTTTTGTCAAGTAATTTAAGCATGTTTGAGCAAGAAAACATATCATATTTTCTGGCCGGCCAGAGTTCAGAGACAGAGAGAATGAATGTAATTGCATGGTACAAATATAGAATAATATCCTTCTAAAACATGATGCCGGCAGAAAAAAGAAAAGAAAAAATAAGAAAGAAAAAGAAAGAAACGAAGAAAGGAAACGAAAAGAGCGTTAGTTGAATCTGCAGATGAAAAATAATCCGAACAATTATAAACCGAAAACATTATGATGCCCCTTTATTATATTGTTTTTTGAGACCATATTGTGCAACATGAGACTATCCACATCCCACGTGGCAATATAAGCATTTCTGCCTATATAAAGAATCAAAAAACCATGATAAGAAAGGACAGAAATCAAACATCAATTTTTGAAGGTTGCCATCTTTGTTCTTTTCCTGCTATTCCCTCCCTCTTGTTTTATTTCTTTATTTATTTTTTCATAAAACTCAATTATTGTACAAGCGTGACAAATAAATAATAGGAGAATGACTAGGCTGCCCATGCAAAAGAGTAATTTGGATCTTGTACTATATTGATGAGGACAAAGACACAAAAGACAAATATAATTGCATTAAGTATTTAGGATGGATAAATTTGGCGGTCAAAATAGATCTACTGTACAAATCCACTAGCTATACCATCTACTATAAATTCCAACACTCTTAACACCATTGCAGCGCTACTCTCACTCTCTCAATATTCCTTTAGCTCATTTACCAAAGGAGTTGCAACTTTCTCTCTTTTTGTCACTTGTATTTTTTGTTGGTGTAGACTTCATGGCTAATACAACCACTAGGGCATGGATATCGGTGCTCTTCTTAGTCATGATCATCTCGGCTTTGTCAATGGTTACCGAGGCGCGTCTTCTTCAGGGACGGGACTCGGAAGCAGCCATGCAGACGTTCGACACAACCGATCACAGCCAACGTCTTCTTCACAAGTTAGGTTTTGATGATTCCAAACTTGAGCATTACAGAAGGTTGTCAGCCCCTTTCGTGATTGATAGGCGCCCTCCAGGTGGCCCAGATCCGCAGCATCATTGATTATGAGTTCGGTTATAACTTTTTCAATCGAAAGGGAACATTTAAGTTTTGAGTATAGATATATAATAAAGATATATATGGTTATATATATATATATGTCACTGCATGACTACCATAAATAAAAATATGTTAAGGTATACCATGTACGAGATAGGGATATTGCCCATTTTTCGTGAGCTATTCAAGCAAAAATGTACTTGGAGCTATGATTAATATATGAGCTAAAGCACTGCAAAAAAAACTCCAGTTTTCTTCTCTCTCAAGTTAAAGCATTGTTATGTTTTTCTACAAAATGTTAGAGAGATTATAATATATTTCTTAATTTTAATATCACAAAATTAGATTAAAATACATTCGGGAAGAATGGGCTGACGCAAGCACGCGCTACAACGCGATGCAACGCACGGACGCGCTGCAGCGCGCTTGGGCGCTGCAGCCTGCGCAAAACAGACCTCTCGGGTCTGTTATGCTAGCTGCGCGCGCTGTAGCGCACAGAAGCGTCCGCTGCAGCGTGCCCTGGGCGCTGCAGCCTGCGCAAAACAGACCTCTCGGGTCTGTTTTGTTAAGCCCGCGCGCTGCAGCGCAAATCATCGAAAAAAAATGTGTTCGTGTGTTTTAGTGATCTGAAAAGGTCTCGAACCATTGCATCTATTTGTGATATGTTTTCTCACATATCTGAGCACTTATTAATAATAGAAATAACTATTGATGTAAGTGCACCAGCATATAAAAGATAACCATCAAATTGAAAAGGTATCTTTATGTGAAAGGTTGTAACACTTAAAGAGGATGGATGCATCCCTGTCTTTATATGATGGACTTCAGAAAATACAGATTACTATTGTTCTGGAACTCAATATTTTTGCTGGATATTGTGTTCAAGGGTTTGTTGTATCTTGGGGGTAATTTGCCATTTTAGAACTCGTTAGCAAACTTTGAGAAGTGAGGGCAAATAAAACCTTAAAGGATACGCCTCAAACCCTTCTTTCTGCATTCTCTATTTCTTTTCATCCTCCCAATTCCGAATTTATCTCACAATCTTTAAGGTTTTATTCGTTGCAATGGAGGTTGAAAAGAACATGACGTCTTTCCTCAATCCTAATGTTCAACTTGATCATTTTGATGGTACAAACTTCACCTGCTGGAAAGGAAAGTTGTTCTTCGTTCTCACTGTACTTAAGATCGCCTACGTACTTGATCCAAAATTGGAGCCACTTCCTGAACTAAAGGAGGATGATTTTGAAGAATTGAAGACCACAAGGAAGAAGCGAGGAGATGATGAAATCATGTGCCGGGGTCATATTCTCAACACTCTCTCTGATAGGCTCTACGATCTTTACAACTCGATGGAGTCTCCGGTGAAGATTTGGAACGCTCTCGAATACAAATACAAAACTGAGAAGGAAGGTATGGACAAATTTCTCATCTTGAAATTTCTAGAATATGTCATGGTTGACACCAAGTCCGTTCTAGATCAAATACATGAATTGCAAGTCATCATTACTAAGCTTCGTGAATTGAAGGTTGAGATTTCTGAATCATTCCAAATGGGGGCAATTATTGCAAAATTGCCTCAAAGTTGGAATGGTTATAGAAAGAAACTCCTTCATAGGAGAGATGACATAACTTTGGAGGAATTACAAAAACACTTGAGAATCGAAGAAGAGACTAAGTCTCGTGATTCCAAGAACAAAAATGTAGATTCCTCAAAATTTAATGTTGCCGAAGCTAGTAAGTTTTCAAAGAACTTCAAAGTCAATAATGACAAGAAGTTCAAGAAGGCAGGTAATGGCCAAAAGAAATTTTTTGGAAATTGTTTCTTTTGTGGAAAGAAAGGCCATCGCCAAAATGACTGCAGATACAAGAAGAAAAAGGAAGAAGTGAACACCAACAATGCCAATGCCATTGAAGAGAAATCCGAAGACATATGTGCTATGGTCTCGGAATTACAAATTGGCATGATTACCGAAACTAACATGGCTGCATTTAAATCCTCCGATTGGTGACTTGATTCCGGTGCCACAATCCACGTTTGTAATGATAAGACTATGTTCTTATCTTACAAAGTGGAAAAGGAAGGACAAACGGTTCTCATGGGGAACAATGATGCGGCAATGGTTGCCGGGAGAGGAGTGGTGGAGATTAACTTTACTTCTGGAAAGAAGCTTACATTGAACAATGTACTTCATGTTCCTGATATTAGGAAAAATCTTGTATCCGCTAGTCTTATGTGTAAGAATGGACTTAAGATTGTACTTGAGGGCAATAATTGTAT